GCAGGTGGTCAGAGCGCGTGAAGCTCTTGTAGCAGAACTCGCACTGGTAGGGCCGCACGCCCGTGTGGATGCGCATGTGGTTCTTGAGGTCGTAGTTGTGCACGAACTTGGCGTTGCAGTGAATGCACAGGTAGGGCCGCTCCCCTGTGTGCTTCCGCATGTGGATCTTCAGCTTGTCCTGCCTGCAATGCAGAGCCCAAGAGTCAGTCCCCGCGGGGAGCACCACAGCCATGCCCAACCCACTGCTCCCCCTTCCTCCAGAACCTGCAAAGGCTCCCTTCTGCCATGGAGTGAAACCCCAGAAAGCTCCTGCTAGGAGCTCCCCCTTCCTCCAGAACCTGCAAAGGCTCCCTTCTGCCATGGAGTGAAACCCCAGAAAGGGAGCTCCTGCTAGGCTCAACCTTTAACTGCTGCCCTACCCCAGACAGGTGTGGCTACTCACTTGGATCAGAGGGATGAGGAAGGAGCAGGTCCCGAGAAGCCTCCTCCCGCCAGAACTCCTTTCACACACAAGCTCAGAGTAATGGAGCGCCCACTCTTTATCAGGGGCCTGTCTCACATCCTGGAAAATAGACTTGCTGGGAAGATACCATTCCTGGAAGTCAGCATTCTGACTGTAGTCCTCTGCTGCTACAATAACTTCTCCTGATACTGGATCCCACTTTAATTCTACACCCACTGTCTGCAGGCAGTAGTCTACCCGCTGGGTTCATCCTTGTGCTTTTGACCAAAGCGCCTGGGCCCATCCCAGCCCTTGGGCTGTTGAGATCTGTCTGTCCTCAGCACTAATCTGGGAAGCGATAGAAGCCCAGGCACACCTTGTTCAAGTCTCTTGCACTGTGGTTTCTTATCCTAAGCCCTGGGCTCTCCTCTTTGTCTGCAGACAATTTCAAAGTTTACAAAAGAGCCAGGTGCAACAAGAATGCAGCCTAATCTAGGGCATAATTTCTCAGGGTTTAAGTGGTATTATTCAGACATAAGGTATGGTATAGGGCGGGGCTCTTATTGGGGATCTGGGAGCCCCTGCAGCTGCAGAGCCACACCAACTTGCTGGGTGACCTTAGGCAAGTTACTTAACCTCTCTGAGCAGAGCTGAACCTAGTGCCAGACTTCAATTTCCATTGTCCAGGCCTCATGGAGAGAATGTGGGTTTGTGAGCTAGATTTAACACACCTCCTGGTGGTCTTGAAAGGAAAACTGACGTCACGGGGTTGTTTTCCTAAAGACAAAGTACTGGGTAAACCAGTTTAAGGAACCTTTCATCCTGGCTGAGGTGGAGGCAGCTGGGCTGCAAGAATTCCTCTCAGGATTATTTTGCAGCCTTCCTCAACCGGGCTGGGCAGGCCAGGAAGCTCTGCGTCCAGTCTCCCACCTCCTCCCCACAGGTGTGGCTGGGGTGGAGCCTCTGACTATAATTTCAGGCTGGGCTTTGAGGTCAGAGCAGATGTGGAACCCTGGTATCCTCCCTAAAATGGCCAGATTTAAACTGTGCTCAACATAACCCCAGGACAGAAGGAGCAGGTCTTGGGATCCTGGTGTCCCCTGGCCACTAGAGGGCTCACGGCTCTCATTTTCAAAACATTCCATGGTGGCTGTGCAGGAGAGAAAAGGACAGCCATATGAGCACTGGCAGGCACCAGAGCGGGGACCAGAGAGGACAGCTCTAGTCCTCTCATCTGTGCTTACAGGAGGGCTGGAAGGGAGTGGGATAAGCAGGGAAGGTGGAGGGGGGTGCTGCTGCCCCAAGATGGCTGGGATCCTCACCAGACCCTCCTCTCTCCACATCCCCCTTCCTCTGCCACATCCCTCTGCCCCTGCCTCTCCCACAGCCCATCAGCCACCCCAGGCTGCAGAGTACCCTGTGATATCCCACCCCGCCCACATGCTGCCCTGTGATATTTGTCACCAGATTGCTCCCAGATGACTGGATTTTTGAGCAGGAAGGGGCCTTAGAGAGCATCCAGGCCAGTGGGTCTCAAACTAGAGCACCCATCAGAACCATGGTCAAGACTTGCCGGGCCCTACTTCTGAAGATTCTGATTCAGTTGGTCTGGGTGTGGGAGGGGGGGAAAGAATTCGCATTTCCAAAACATTGCCAGATACTGCTGGGGGTCCATAGACCCCATGTTGAGACCAATGGCCTAGGCCAATCTTTCCCTCTGTAGGTTCCCTTCAAGGGGAACATGCTAAGACCACCTGGAGGGTGATGGCATTGCTGAGACTCTTTTCTCACCACTGCATTGTGACCTGTGTAAAAATGTAGGGGTGGGGTGCATAGTACCATCTGCACCCCTATAGCGATGCTCCTATCTGGTCCTGAGGCATATGTCTTCGGACTCCACAGATTTGCCCAGGGTCTGATGGAAGCACTGACGCCAGCTGCTCGGCTAGGCTTCCTCCCCAGGGCCTCAGAGAGCTCAGTTCAGAATCAGCTGAGCGGGCTTTAAATACATCATCTCATCTAATTCTCATCACAACCTTATGAGATAGATTTAAAAAAAAAAAAATCACTGTTACACATAATTAGTAGTATTGACCCTTAGGGTCACTCTCAAACAATGGACAGTGCAAATGGTAAATCTTCAAATGTCAAGGGCCTATTATAAATATCCACAGTTTCTCCCATACTTCTCATTAGGGCAAAGGGCCTACTATAAATATCCATAGTTTCTCCCATACTGCTCATTAGGGCATCTAAAATAAATCCCATTTTAGTGGCCATCAACCCAAGTACTTAAGATGTGCTGAGAAGGTGCCTATAATGTCCTTTCATTGAGCACCTGCTATCAGCAGATGAATACAGTATTTCAATGATCCTGTAAGGTTGTTATTCAGAGGCAAGGTAGGACCCCCAT